ACATCCTGAGGTGCTGTCCCAAGGATGATTTTCCCAATTGTCCAATGAGCTCCTGTCCTGTCCTGGCTGCACTAACACACTTTAAATACAAACTGTGCAATAAATTGACCTTTTTCCCCAAAGAGCTCCGTGTGTGTTGCTGTCTTTTCTCCCTCTCTGCAGCACAGTAACCACATCCAGGAGGTAAAATGATCACTGTGAGTTCATTTATGGAGGTGTCTGAGGTTTAGCAACACCCTGGAATCAGCTTCTCAGCCACCAGTGAGAGGTGAGGACAGGGTGAGGACAGGGTGAGGACATGGTGAGGACAGGGTGAGGACAGGGTGAGGACATCCCCCTTTTCCAGGATGGAAACGGAGTGGGACTGACAAGCAGGGGACGTGTGGCACCACCAGAAATAAATCCTGCTGTCCTCAGTGCTCCACTTGAAGGGTTCATCCTCCTCCAAGTGCTCTCCTTGCCTGGGCTACCAGGGAGCATCAACTTCACACAATTTCAGGGTAATGCAGGGTTCCCCTGCTCTGGGACAGCCCTTGTGATACCCCAGGAGAGCTGGGAGCTCTGGAGATCCCCCTGTCCAATCCTGGAGCAGGTGACACAGGAATGTGTCCAGCTGGATTTGGAACATCTCCAGAGAGACCCCAACCCCTCCTTGGGCAGCTGCTCCAGAGCTCTGCCACCCTCACGGAAATTCCTCCTGATGAAATTCTTCACCCTGAGGACGCACGGGGGGACTCTGTGAGCATCCTCGGGGCACAGAAGTGACCCAGGGACAGCTCTGCTGGGGACTTACTGCCACAGAGGTCTCCGAAGACATAATAGCACTGCTCTGAGAAGGTGATTTTGTTCACAGTGTGCCTGAGGTAGCCGTGTTTCAGCATGCTGCTGGCGTATTTCCTGGCCTCCCGGCGGTCCTTGAAGCCTTCCACGTGTGTGTAAAGCCAGTCCACCACATCTGCTCCTGCAATGGGGACAGCAGGAGGAGACATGGGGTTATCTGAGCCCAGTTCTGCCAGATGAACACCCAGAACTGAGCCAAATTCTGCCATCTGAAGAGCTAGCATGGGAGTTTTTTGAGCCAAACTGTGCCATCTGAACACCCAGAACAGGATTATCTGTGCCAAACTGTGCCATCTAAACACCTAAACAGGATTATCTGAGTCAAACTGTGCCATCTGAACATCTAGAGCAGGATTATCTGAGTCAAGTTGTGCCATCTGAACACCTAAACAGGATTATCTGAGTCAAATTGTGCCATTTGAACACTTAGAACAGGATTATCTGTGCCAAACTGTGCCATCTGAACACCTAAACAGGATTATCTGAGCCAAATTGTGCCAGCTGAACACCTAGAGCAGGATTATCTGTGCCAAACTGTGCCAGTTAAACACCTAGAACAAGATTATCTGAGCAGAACTGTGAGAGCTGACCATCTACAATGGGAATATCTGTGCCAAATTGTGCCATCTGAACACCCAGAACAGAATTATCTGAGCCAAACTGTGCCATCTGAACACCTACATGGACACTGACACTAAACACACACATAAAAAAATCTTATTTACACACAGTGTGCAACCTCTTTGAGCAGCAGGAGTGAAAACAAAAGCAGGAGTGAATTTTTCTCTGGATTTCACCAGAGAAGGTGACTGGAAGTCACAAGAGGCAGATGTTGGGTTGCCAAAATTCCTGTGTTCCTCAGCAAAAAGGAACTACAGCCTGGACTGGCTAAATGCCAGCACAGCTCAGGTCACAGGAAACTGGCTGTGGCAATTTTAAATCTAATTAAGAGGCTTTATTAAGGTTGTGTGGTTAAATTCCAGTTGTTCTGCTGAACTTGGGCAGGTCTCTAAAGCCACCTGAAAACCTGAGATATAAAAAGAAAGAATTAAGAACCAGCTCTGTGTGGGCATGAGCAATGTGCAGCAATTCTGGATATCCAAGCTTAAACCAGAATTATTCCTGTCACACTTAAGAGATTTTAAATGGAATATGAGAGGTCACAGACATGAAAAAAAAAGCTCATTAAGAGGTAGTTTCTTGAACCTATTTCCATTAAATCACTGTTTTTTCCCCCCCTCAGCATTCCTGGGATATGCTTACCTATCACTGCATTGGAGATGGTGATTTTTAACCACATCCTGTCCCGAATTTCAAGGCCTGAGTCTGGCAGCTGCATGACCTTGACAATAGTAGCCATGTCACTCTTCACAGTTAAAGGAGATTCTTCTAATTCTAAAAGGAAGAGAGGCCACAGGCTGCTTTGAAATGAAATGAGGCTGAAGGAACTTCTCAGCTCCCAGTTTGGATGAAAACAAAAATACAGTTTTACAAGCAGATGCAAAAAAAAAAAGAAAAAAAAAAAAAGAAAAAAAAATACACAAAGGTTCCCAAATGCACCCTCATCCATGGAGTGAATTACAGCATTTAAAACAATTCTCCAGATTTTGGGCTCAGGGCCCCCAGTTTAGTGACAGAAATGCTGGGTCCTCATGTCCTGGTTTCCCAGAGCAGCTCCAAGATCCACTCTGCATCAAGATTGGCAGGAAAGGAAATCCAAGGATTTTTGTGATCCATCATTTCCCATTTCAGTTTCCTTTCCATCCTGGGATTAGCTCACTGAGTGCAGAACTCTGTGGGACAAGTTTTTGGGGTTTGTTCTTTTGGTTTGGGGTTCATTGTCTCCATCTCCATGGAGAAAGAGGATGACCATGGTTCAATCCATGCCCAGTTTTTTTTATTTAAAGATCTGGATATTTTTGTGGAGAATTGAAATTATAAAAGAAATCTTCCTTCAGTAGAATAAACCAGTGATTTCCTTATAAAAACCCTTCCCAGGGTCCCAGAGGTGGCAGCCTCACAGTCCATTCCTCCCAGGATTTCTTTGCCCTCCATCTTTTTTAAAAAAAGCTTTAAAAAAAGCTCCCAAATGTCTCCACAGCCATTCCCAGTTCACACCATTAAGGGCAGAACTGGATCTCCAGAGGTTTCAATTTTTTACAATAAAATCAGAACAGGGTTGAGGCTGAACTTGTCAAATCCTCCTTCCTGTCCCATCTTCTAGCCTTAAAAAAATTCATTTTAATCTGTTTTTGTGGCCCAGGCCCTTCTCCAGCAGAAATTCCAAAACCCTCCTCCCCTCCCAGCTCCCCACATCACCCACCTTTCAAAAAGCACAAAGGAACCACTTTTGTCCTTTTCCAGCCACCCAAAATTTTGGATAAAAAAAAAAAGGTACAGCAAGCGTGAAACAATGAAAACTGAAAATGCTTCTTGCCATACATGCACTGCCAATATGCATGAAACCATCCCAGACCAGCTCTGCATGCAGCTTCAATACTTACAAACCTCAAATAAAACACTAAAACTTTGCTTTTGCTTTAAGTTAGTTTGGTTAGTGGCAAAAAGCAACATGTCTGGGGAAAAAAATACACCAACAAACTAATATTCAAGTATTTTCTTGGAGACCTGTGATCTGCATATGAACAGAAAATTGGTATTTTCTATTTGCTGTACAAATATGACAAATTCTGAGATGCATCTGAAATGCTCCCTTTTGGTGTGAATTCAGGCAGCTGTGGAAAATTCCAACCCAGGTCAGGGCAGGTAACGGGGCTGAGCTGAAGGAAGAGGTCACAATAAAAATCAGGGCTACCCTTTATTCTCTTGCATTCCAGAAAGGAAATATTTTAAGTCACAGAAACGAGAAGCTGTCCCCAGAAATGTGGTTCTGTTCCCAAATACATTTATTTTCAAAGCAGAGGGTGCCTGTTCCCCACTTCCCAACCCCAGCACTGCAACCAAGGCACGGCAAACATGAATTGTTCAAGAGGAATGCTGAGTACAGACAGAAAATCAGCAGAGACTTTGGATTCCAGCAGTACCTGAAAGGCTCAAAACCCATCTCAGGATACAGCAGCTTCCTGCTGCAGATTATTTCCCCTCAGTGCTGCTGCCTGATGTCTAAAAACATCTCTGAAAAAAATAAAACCTGGCCTTTCCCTCCAAGGTGAGGTGGAATTCCAGCTTATAAAAATCTGAGGTGCTTTACAGTCAATACCACACAGTTCTTTAAAATCCTCAAAGTGTCCTTCTGAGTTAAATAAAAGGAAATTTTAAATTTTCCAAAATAAGGAGTTGGAGCTTAGTGTTAATAACACCAAGGCCGTGGTTTTGACACCTGTCTGGGCCATTCCCTTGAGATTTGGGCTCACTGATCCTTGTGGGTCCCTTCCAATTCAGAATATTCTGTGATTAGAGGGCTCTTTTGAATTAAAGAAACCTCTCTGAATCATGACAACCTCCTGGTTTCATGGATATGACTATTTTAGACTGCCACAGACTGAAAAAGCAGGAAGGAGGTTGAAGTCCAACCATAATTTCACGTGGGATGTTAAACTTAGTTTTGGCTTGCTCAATAAATTCAAAAAATAGAAAAAAACATTAAAAAGGATAAAAAAGGGTAAAAAAGCATTTAAAAAGATAAAAAACTGATTAAAAAGCATAAAAAAAGGATTTTAAAAATGCATTACAAAAGCACAAAAAATGATAAAAAAAGGATAAAAGGCCATGTGAATGAAGGATTTCCCCAAATAAAAGACTAATATTATTACTGAAATTTATTAAAAACCAATCAAATGCAAGAAGGGAAAAGAAGGGAGCTCTCCCATCCACCTGAGGGGATAAACCTGAACCAATCTTTAAAATTCACCAGCAACCACTTCTCCCTGAGACACAACCCTGACCAAAAACCTTCCTAACCTTTGCCAAAAGCTTTCCTGCTTCCCCCAAGTGTCAGAAACCACTCAAAGCCTGGCTGGCACTGGCATTGTCACCATGCCCATGGCTGGGACCTGGTAGCCCCATGGCCAGGCCCTGGTGGCCTCAAAGGCTGGGCCTTGGTGGCTGGGCCCTGGTGGTCCAATGGCCAGGCCTTGGTGGCCCCAAGCTGGGCCCTGGTGATGGACCTTTGCCAAAAGCTTTCCCTGCTTCCTCCAAGTGTCAGAACCCACTCAAAGCCTGGCTGGTGTTGGCATTGTCACCATGCCCGTGGCTGGGCCCTGGTGGCCCCATGGCTGGGCCTTGGTGGCCCCAAGCTGGGCCCTGGTAGCCCCATGGCCAGGCCCTGGTGAGGGACCTTTGCCAAAAGCTTTCCTGCTTCCCCCAAGTGTCAAAAACCACTCGAAGCCTGGCTGGCACTGTCATTGTCACCATGCCCGTGGCTGGGCCCTGGTGGCTCCAAGGCCAGGCCCTGGTAGCCCCATGGCTGGGCCTTGGTGGTCCCAAAGCTGGGCCCTGGTGATGGACCTTTGCCAAAAGCTTTTCCTGCTTCCCCCAAGTGTCAGAAACCACTCAAAGCCTGGCTGGTGTTGGTGTTGTCACCATGCCCAAGGCCAGGCCTTGGTGGCCTCGAGGCCAGGCCCTGATAGCTGGGCCTTGGTGGCCTCACAAGGCCGGGCCTTGGTGGCCCCCCCGAGCAGCCCCCTGCCCTGGGGGCTGGCCAGGGGGTGACTTACTTTCCGACTCGGGAATTGAGCTTGTTAGTGAGGAGCTGGTAGATGTGGTGATGCTCATGGAGGGGCTCATACCGTAACGGGGGTACGCTCCCGTCATGGCCGTGGTATGAGAGATCCAGGCCGCGGGGTCGATCGGCCGCACCGGCTCAGCTGTGGGGGGGAAAAAAGTAAAGACAACGGGGTCAGGCTTGAAGGAAAGATCAAGATTTTGAAAGATCTGAGAGGGTTTTTCTGGTTTTCTAAAGGTTTCA